CACTGCTGCTGTAACAAATTACCATAAATGTAGTGACTTAGAACAATAAAAATCTATCTCTTACAGCTCTGAAAGTTAGAAGTCCATAGTTAGTCTTCATGGGGTAAGGTCAAGGCACTGGAAGGTTTATTTCCTCTGGAGGTTTTGAGAACTGATTTCCTTTTTCTACTTTTAGTAGCCCCCAGACTTTCACCCACCCCCTCACATCATTCTAAACTCTTACATCTGTCAATCTTCTTCTGACTCTGATCTTCCTGCTTCCCTCCAATAAGGAACCCTGTGATCACACTGAGCTCACCTACATAATCCAAGATAATTTCCCCATTGTAAAATTCTTAGTCTCATCTGCAAAATCTCCTTTGCCATATAAGGTAACACAATCACAGATGCTGAGAACTAAGAAGTAGACATATATAAGGGTCATTATGCAGCCAGTCACAGGATCCAAGTGTCAGGGCACAAAAATGAAAATGGCTTTGCAGGCTATACAGACAAAAGTAAGTCAAGTTTCTTATCTAAAGGCCAGAAAGCAAACTGTATTTGAGTCTCCGGAAATACCTAGCCAGAATTCTTTTTCTGCTCCTTTTGGTATTGAAATATTTTGGGGGCATGGAAATGATCCTGACAGTAGACAGCTACTGCTTGCCCTCTGTAACTTCATGCACAGAATTTCAGTTCATCAGAGGATAAAGAGACCTCCATACTCTTTATTTACAACCACTTTCTTCCAGGGGGAAAAAGAAAAGAATGCAGGAAGCAAAGTGGCCTGGTGAAACAAGCACAAAATTTGACATGAGAGGTATTTTGACTTTCATCTCAGCTGGCTTTTTACCAATTGTCCAATTCAGGCCAAGTCTGTGCCTACTTCACAGAGCTGTTCTAAATTTCACAGAATGTGGTTTTTTCCCTCAGGTCATGGCACATAGCCAGTCCTCCCCTTATGCCCAAGCCCATTCCAATCAGGGAATTCAGAAGGGCTTTTCAGAAAGAATCAAACAGGTTTGTCAATAAAATACTTCACATGCCTTATGTGGAGTGATCACAATCTGACTGTCTTAGACCTGCTTGGAGCTGCCATCTGACTTGTCCTGGCTGAATTCCTTCATTTTCTCCTCAGCCTTTGTGGTGCCAGAGAACCAGCCAGGTGTATCTGTGGAACAGAGTAACTGGCAGCTGAAGCCAAAGGCTAAGAAGTACCTGAATACTAAATCGGGGTCAGGATGCATGTGGAGCAGAGATTAATGAATGCTAAGAGCCAACAGACAGAAGAAGCCCTGGGAAGAATTTCCTGCTTGGACCAGGAGAGGGACAGCCAAGCACAGTTGAAAATAAAGGCCCAGTCTATTTGCTGACAACAGGTGTGATGAGCCAAGTAGAACAGAGAAGAGATGCCCAATCCCCTGCACAAGATGGACACTAGATGGAGAAAAGGAGCCAGAACACAGATAACACTTGGAGAATTGTTCATCAGCACATTTTTGTTGTTATTAATCCCAAATTTCCGAGGTCCAGAGACACTTATATGACAACCCACAACCTGTGCATTTGAACACTGAGACCTGGATAACTATGAGTATATGAAATAGGGCAGGGGTAGTGAATCTGTGGCACATTTGCTGCAGCAGGCATATGCTTATTATCATTGAAATCTCTTAAAGGTTCTTGATGATTGACAAAGGGGAAATCAGTAAAGGCAGAAAATACTCTTGCTCTGGCACTGGTTTGGAGAGAAAGAAAGAAAGAAAGAACTAGGAGAAGCAGATAACTAAGTCCATATGTCCTGATCAGCTTTCTATAGGACTAAGTTCCCAGGAGTGAAGGATGTGGAGAGCCCAAAGTACAAATGTTTTCCAGATCCTTATCTGGAGCCCTGGAAAGAGATCATGGTTCAGGGAGACCCAGAAACACCAAAGGGATTGGAGAGCTATAGAGTATTAGCTATTACTAGCTATTATTAACTAATAGAGCATTAGTTGTTTGACAAAGTACCTGAAATAAATAAGGAAAGAAAGATGTATTTTGGCTCTTTTCGGGGTTTTGGTCCACAATCACTTAGCTTTATTGACATAGGCCCATAGCAAGGCAGATCGTAATGGTGGGGAACAGAGAACAGAGCAAAGATGCTCACCTGGCAGAGGCTGGGAAGCAGAAAGAGAGAAATGAAGGAACCAGAGAAAAAATATGGACTTAGGAGAAAGCCCCAAGGGCCAACTTTCTTCAAACAAGCACGACTTCCTAGTTCCTACTGCTTCCCAATAACCCATTAAATTAAGAATCCATCAGGGAATAAATCCATTGAAAAAGTTGTACCTCTTATAATCCTATCATCTTCCAAAGGCTCCAGTTATGCTATGGTTACCTTGAGGACTGACCATTTCAGAGGCATTCAGACCCAAACCACAATCATACAAAAGCAGCAGTGAAGGAGGTGTCAGTACATCCACCTGAGACTCACTCCTGGTTTCCAAAAGCAAGGATGTGTGCCCAAGGATGTGTACCTCACGGGAGATGCAGAAAACCACTGGAATCAAGTTTAGGTAGGTGTGTGTGCATGTGTGTAAGAATGTGAGCATGAGTGTGTGTGTGTACACTTACATTTGGAGAAATCACAGCATCAGAAAACCAGAAGTAGAATAATTTCAAAAAAAGATAATGCCACTAAGCTTTGACAAAACCAAGACAGCAAATAATCCTCCTCTATCCCAGATTTCAACAGTGATTCCACTGGCTGGATCCACATTCATTTACTGCATCTCAAAACCTTTGACATGAAGATGAACATTATTGCCTAGCTGCAGAGACCAGCAAGAGGAATGTGAGACAAGCTTTCACCTTAGGCACAGAAGTCATGTTGAGAAAGGAAGAAAAGAAGTAAACTACTCAGGAACAGGGTTCAACTTCAAATTAATTGAATATTTGCTTAGAAAGATTATTTTAAGATAAAGTCTTTAAAGTGTAGGAAACTAGGGTGCTTTTAATTAGCAAATTACATTATTTATTTTTCCCCATCCCTTTCCATACTCCCTGTGGCAACTGAAGAAGATACAATCACTGCAGTAGACAAAGAAGCTACATTTTCATGGGACATCAGTGAAAAAAATTTAAACTTCTTTTTTTTTTCTTTTATTGAGTTTATTGGTACATTTTAGGTATACAGTACAATTACATTCATTATTGGGATCTTATACCTTTACATGACAGGTGTTGGTTCTCATTATTTTCCCCTTGTCCATGCCCTCCCTTCACCCCCCCTCCCCTCCCTTTACAAACACTTTATTTCCATTTTTTTCATTTTGTCATATTTTTTTCTTTTCCCTTAATACCTTTTCCCTACGTGGCCAAATTGATCTTGAAGTAAAGATTGTTGTGAACTCCATCTTTGTGTTTATACTGAATTAAGGAAAGACTTCTTTTTCAGAAGTAGACGCTATCCATCTGATACTTATATATAACAAGAAAATTACATAGTTTCAATGGGATAATTCTCAGAAAGCTTTGTGTTTATTAAGCTTTAGTTGCCAAGTTCTCATTTATCATTTTTAGTAGTACCACTTAAGTGGTTTCCTTGAAGTCATGTAGGTGGCTGTGTTGGGAAAAGACCAGAGCACGGAAATACCATCTTTCATTTTTTTCCCAGATGTAGAAACAAGAAGTAGAATGGTATTGAGTCTTTCTCAAGCCTCAAGACTTTCTCATGATAAAGAATGATGATTTGAATCTAACACTCTTGAAACTCAAGTAACATTTCTCCCTAAAGATGTCTCTTATATATCATTGAAAAAAGAGGGGGAAAGTTAATTCTGGTAAAAATAGAACTGAATGGGAGATGTTAGTAACCTAGAATCTGAACAGTAGCTCCTTAGAAACGAACTAAACTTTTGATCATTGTCAAGAAACCCTTGTGGCAAGGAAATATTAGGGTGAGGAAGGAGAGAGTAAAGAAGTGGGAAAGGGTTGGGGCAATTCCAAAGAAGTGGAAAAAAAAAAGAGACCCCAGCAAGCAACCAGCCTGGGGCTGCAGAGATACTGCAGGAAATGAGTTGTGCCCAAGAGCAAAGGGTCCACCAGATGTCGTGGCACATTCCTATAATCCCAGCATGTGTGGGATTGGAATACGATTATATTTTCATTTTCTTTTTGTTTATCAAAATTTGGAAAGCATCTACAACATATATTATGTTCTAATAAAAGTCTAAACAAGGGCCGGGGATTTAGCTCAGTGATT